ATACCAGCTAAATTTACTTGGATTCTATGTTCTTGTGCTTCTTTATCACAAGGAAACTGAGGGTTTAGTCTTTATGATTAAAGATTCAGGGTAATGTGAAGATGAAGTCATATATCTGCAAATTGTGCCACAAATGCTACATCCATGTAACATCGGTTGCCACATTACTGTCCTATGATGAAATGCTAATTAAAGCTCAAGAGACTCAACTTGGATTATACACTAGACAAAAGAGAATGTCCTCATCTGAACAACCTCGAATAAATTGAACAGCTTCTTAAATATCTTTATTAAGTTAGTGAAGTAGTTGATGCTCCACGTGCACAAATCAGACTGGACCAAGGACTGACACTCAAAATTAATTTTTATACATGCTTTTAACAGAGTTAAATTATGATCTAAGAATTAAAGAACAGTGACAAAAACATAAAGTTGTAAATAAGATCAGGAGTATTTTGGAAATTGTTACTAGATTCACCATAGTTCTGAAAGCCTTGGATTCATGCAAATACTTTACATTTAAAAAAGAGTAGCATAGAAAATAAGCAAAAATTACATAAGAAGACATACTACTAGAGGAGCTTTGTGGAAGAATAAAATTGAACAAGAATTTACGTTTTGCTGCTTTCCAGAAAACTATTGCCACTTACTTCTTCTCCTTGGATATCCTCACAGAAACTTTATCTCTGTCCATATAATATCTGAGACACTGTGGGTCACAACTAATATACCTTAAAATGCTAACCAGAAGGTTCTTGGTTCAAGTTCATTCGATCAATCCTGCAAGACAGACTGAAAATGTATTTTTGAAAAACCAGCCATTGAAAGTTCAATGGACACAATTCTGCTCTAGCAGATTTCCGTTCAGACCTCTGTTAGTTAGAACCAACTAAATAGTAACTCTTTAGTTCTGGTTTATATATGATTCCTAACATTTACTCCTGATCTTCAAATTCTTAAAATAAGTATTCAGAAGCTAATAGAATTTGAATGATTAATTTAAAATATAGTAAAAAATAAATGCAATCCTAAATTTGTTTTTTAATTCAATTATTTTTCTCTTTTATGACAATGTAGCAAATGTCTATTTTACTCTAATTTAGTAACATACTTGTCAAATTGGAGAAAATATGTCAAGTCAGACATATAGTTAAATTGTTTATTATGTAAACTGTAATCAATACATAAATGGCCTCATCTAGCTTTATATTCTTATGGTGAGAATTTGAGTTTTTATGAGTTAGATTTGGCTCTATGGTGGTGAATTTGGTTTGGGTTTTAACTTTTCTTCAAATTATTCCACTGCTATTAGGCCAGTATTCCAGATATTACTATTAACATATGTATCAATATAATATATGTATTTACTTGTATTATAACTTCATGGAGTATCTACATGAGGATAAAAAATATTCTCAGGCAAGTTTTAACTCAGAACAATAACATTGAAATTCCTGAAGTCATTCATTTTTTTTGTTTTGTTTTGTTCTTAATCACCAGCTTTAATTTCTCTGAGTCATCAATGAAAGAACGAGAGTCAAAGAATGGTATCTGTCTGAAACCCATAGTACGGTATTGTATGGAAGAACCAACTCCATCTAAAGGGATTTTATACTACAAAGTTGTATCAAATCATTAAATCTATATATGCACAAAATAAACAGAAAATATGCAAATCACTTAAATTCCCAGTGGTTCACTCTGCAATCAGACAATTTAATCGCCACAGCAGGATGAACCACACTTTTGTGACTGAATTCATAATTCTGGGTCTCACTAGAAATCCTGAAACCCAAGAAGTTCTCTTTGTTGTCTTTCTCTGCATCTACCTTGTGGCTTTTCTTGGGAATATGCTGATTGTCGTTGCCATCATTTATAACACTGCCTTGCACACTCCAATGTATGTTCTTCTTCTGGCCCTGGCTATTGTGGACATTATATGCACAACAAGCATTATACCTAAGATGCTCTGGACCATACTCACATCAGAGAAGACCATTTCATATAATGGCTGTATGTCCCAGCTCTACTTCTTTACATGGTCTCTTGGAGCTGAGATGGTTTTGTTTACCACCATGGCATATGACCGCTATGTAGCCATCTGCTTCCCCCTTCGCTACAGCACTATTATGAATCAATCTATGTGTGTTGCCTTGCTCAGCATTGTCATGGCTATTGCGGTAACCAATTCATGGGTACACACTGGTCTCATTCTGAAACTCACCTTCTGTGGGCCCAATGCTATTGACCACTTCTTCTGTGAGATACCTCCCTTGCTAGCTTTGTCCTGCAGCCCCGTGAGAGTCAACGAGGTGATGGTGTACGTTGCTGACATCACCCTGGCCATAGGTGATTTCACCCTCACCTGCATCTCCTATGGCTTTATCATTGCCGCTATTCTCCGAATACGCACAGCAGAAGGCAAGAAGAAAGCCTTTTCAACATGCTCATCTCACCTCATCGTGGTTTCCCTTTACTATTCCCCTGTCATCTACACCTATATCCGCCCTGCTTCCAGCTACACGTTTGAGAGGGATAAGGTGGTGGCTGTGCTCTATACTCTTGTGACACCGACATTAAACCCAATTGTGTATAGTTTTCGGAATAAAGAAATGCAGGTAGGGATTAGGAAAGTGTTTGCA